AGTGTTTTTTATGTGATGCTGGAGATCACACCCAGTGCCTCATGCATCCCTAGGCAAGCGCTCCACCACTGAGCCACAACTCCAGCCCTATGTTACCCCTTTTTAAGTAAACCCTGCTTTATATGCCTGCCTGGACATGCTTCTCTAATATTATACTTCAACATCTGAGGAAGCAGAACTAGTCAGTGGTAACTGGCGGTATCACTGGGACCTGTGTTTGGTTCCTAGGTGAGCTGGTGTGGGTCTCAGCTGCCAGGTCACCGTCTGGTTTTTCGGGTCAGGGCAACTCCAGGATAGGATCTGGGGGATGGTTCTCCAAGGGGCTCAGTGCTGCTCAGCGTTCAGTTGCTTGGATGCTTTTCTGGCTGTGTCTAGGCACATTCATTGGAAGGTCGATGCTCCTGATAGACAAACATCCCCTTTGGATACAGACTTGGATCCAAACTCAGAATCTATCCTCAAGGAGCTGCCTTACCTTGGACTAATTAAGCAATGTCTGTCCTCTTGTTTGGAATGCAACAATGCCTACCCTACACCTTTGTTAGGAAATGACCTGTAATGCTAGTACAGTTGCTACATTAAATTCAGTAGTATTTAAGTCATATTAGCTGTCCTAGGTAAAACTGGGCCACCAACTAGTATATGGAACCATTTTACAAAAGGAAATCAACCTAGCCCTGCCCAATGGAGTACACTGGTAATCCCAGTGACTCAAGAGGCTGAAGCAGGAGGGTTACAAATTTAAGGCCAGCCTCAGCAATTTAATGAGACCCTGTCTCAAAATAAAAAATAAAAAGGGTTGGAGATGTATCTCAGTGGTGAAATGCCCCTGGTTTCAGTCCCCAGTACCAAATAAATACATAAATAATTTAAAAAATGGAATCCACCAAGGTTGTAAGGATTGAGTATATTAGTCATCTTTAGACAGCAGTCTTCCTCCTTTCAGAAATTAGACTTGGACCTAAGACTCAGAAGCGGCAAGAAGGCTTAAACCTTAATGAGGATAAAAGTAGAAATATAAGTCTATACTCAGAATAGGTGAGTACAGTTGAAGCCCGACTCTGTGCATTGATTTTAAGGTCGCTAGGGTCATCATGCCTCCCGTGCTCACTACTACTGAGTTGCCGGGGTCTTGCTGGCTTTTCCGGAGCAGGTGAACTCTTCACCTATTTCTAGGATATTATATTCTTGTTTGCAAAATGCGAGACAGTACTTTGATTATTGACTTTGTGCTGCATCAGAGCCACTCAGTTTCGTGCCAGGCACATCTGGAAGAAATTATAACAGCCTAGTGAAATCGTGGGCGTGCGGGTTCACCATTTCTCTGCATTTCATTGAAGGAATTGGGGAGTGGTAGCCTCCAGCAGCTCTTTCGGGTCTGGGGAGCTGGTAGTTCACAGGTTCTGCCTGCAGAGGGCGCACTGCAGA